CTACATAGGAAAAAGAAGTACAAACCTATCATAGGTCCTACCAAGTGGACATTTCAATTCAAGTTTTCAGTGTGTTAATTATCAAATCTAAGTGCCCCAGTTTCATAGATTAGGTAATGGATATATTTAATATTTTAATAATAATTAAAATTATAATTATAATATTATTATATTATAATTTTTTATTTTTAAATTGTACTTATTAAAAAAAAGCTAAGTAAATAAGTGAGGAACAGCCTTATCGAAAGCAAGAATAGTGAACACCTTTAATAGATTAATCTAGTTGATGAATTTAATCTTCATCTTTTATGAAGATTTAATTTTTTAAAAATTACCTAAAATGATCCAAAAAGGCACATATTAGCTCCAGAGATTGTACTCACCATAAAACTAAAAAGAAAAAAAGTGAGAAAAACTTTCGTTTTACGTGAAGTAAAAATTACAACTAAAACTCACATCTAAGCAAGAGAATACCATTCAACCGACATATATTAATTTGCCAACTATGGGAAACCATCTTTTTTGTTTTCTTTTTTCTCTAATAGGAGAAACTAACTTAAAATTAAAAGGCCAAAGCATCAATTTGTTATTTAGATATTTTTTCCTTTCATAATTAATACTATAAATTAATTTTTCTCTTAACTAATATTTTTAATAATTAAATTATCGATAAAATTATATAGTGTAAATAGAGAATTTAATTATTAATTTTTAATACAAATAGTATTATCAAATGTCACCTCGTATCATCAATGCATATCCATCAGGGCAGGAATGACCAAACAAATAAAGAGTCAACTTTCTCCTACTACTGCATCTTTATCAATTTTCAGATTAGCAAATCAGGATAGGGGACCAGACTGGTGTATTCTAGGGCTGAAGTCATGGACACGCAATAAGTTGTTGGGTCATATAAAATTTTTTTAATTTTATTTTTAAAATATTAATTTTATTTAATTTAAATATTAAAATAATTAATAATTATATTTATTAATTAATATAAATAAAAATAATTAATATTTATTATTTAATTAATTAAAATTAATTTATACACTAATATTTTTTAAATACTGTAATTAACTATTTTAAAAATAAAAAATGTAGTTGGTTGGAGCGTGGTTTTAACCACTTCCCATAAATCCTTCAACGTACCGATTAATCTTTTCTTCTGTCCCAACGACCCACGCTCTCCCCTCTTATCATCCTAAGAAATTCCAAAACCACGGAATCAGAATCTCCTTATGACATAGCATCCTTTGACCAGTCATCCTAGATTGTTGAACAAATGCAAATCTTAATTATAGTCCTCCATTCAATTATGCTTTTACGAGGTAGTAATGTCAAATCATGTTTAAATATAATTTTTTTTAATAGTTTAACGTACCTCCCGTAAAATTGTTAAAAAAAAAAAAAACTATGCTTTATCGAGATATATATTTATCACTAAATTGAGATTTGATGGTTAGAGAACAACGATAATTGGTTTATACCGGCAAAAAACCAAATGCACTTTGAATGCATAACATGTGAACAGGGTGTCCGATTTGTTTGAATCTTGAATGAGTTTATATATATATATATATATATATCTGAATTCTGATTATCATTTTATAGTATGAGAGATTTGAATCATTTGATTTAAGTGACAGCTCAACTGTTAATATAAAAATTTAATATTTAAGTTTTGAAATAATATAAAATTATGAAATAAATTATTATATAATTTAAATTATATTCATCACAAAATTGATTAAATGAGGGGCGGATCCTCACCATATCAGGAATAGAGATTTATTTTTCCAAAAAATGAATATATTAGAGAAGGCATAAGGATTGATTCACATGTCTGGATTTCTTTATTTTATTTTATTTTATTTTAGGACAAATGGTCACATGTTTGGATAATATACTTAGATTCTCCTTCTGGGGTTTTCTTATAAAAATATCAATAAGTTTCCCTTCCAAAGATCCTTTTTTTTTTCTTTTTTTCGTCCCTCTAAAAACAAATTTATTTTAGATCAACAAAGAGGAGCTAACTAAATAAAATTTTTAATTTTAATTTGAGACTCAAATTTAACTCTAAAACTTGAACTGTAAACATATTTTATAAAAAGATATCTAACCCCTTAAGGTACTTATGCAATTCTCTTGCCAAGACTTTGTTAAAGTCTTATTCTAATATATTTTGAACCTTTTAGTCGTCTCTTGCCAAGACTTTGTTGAAGTCTTATTCTAATATATTTATATATTTTGAACCTTTTAGTCTGCTCTCTTGCCAAGACTTTGTTAAAGTCTTATTCTAATATATTTTGAACCTTTTAGTTTTAGTGTAGTTGAACAATCACTACAAGGAGATGCACCTATGCTGACGGAACTTTTTCGTCTGTGTAGACCCATTTTTCGTTGGTATAGACCCCCATGACTATTCCAATGGATTAACTTTCAGTCGGTGGAAACTTCGTCAGTATAGGGTCTATACCAACGCCAAATCCGTTTGTATAGACTCCTAGGTCTATTCCGATGGAAGACTTATCCGTTGGTATAGATCCTGAGAAATCTCTTGAATTTCCGTCTGTATAGACCCTTGGGTCTATTCCGATGGAAGATTTTATCTAATGGTATATACCCTTAGATCTATTCCGATGGAAAACTTATCCGTTGGTATAGACCCTGAGAAATCTTAAGAATTTTTTCGTCTGTATAGACCCTCATATTTACAGACTGATAATTTCAATGATATACCGACAGCTTTTTTCATCAATATAAATCCTTTTTTTTTTGTTTTACAATTGATATTTCAATTTTAGTTTATTTTATTTTATTTATAAATTTATTGATAATTCAATTTTATTTATAATTTTTTGTACTTATAACATGATTAAAAACAATTAACCACCATTGTTTTCTGTCATGAGCATCCAAAATTACAATAATAACAATTTTTATTAATTTGTATAAAAAATCAGCACAAAGCAGAACTCCAATCGACCAACTCTCAAACAAAGAACAATTAAAACAGAGTTGAAACAATTAGAACAATTTCAATTCCTACCGGCAGCAAAACTCTTCCTCCTAATCTTCCTCCTAATCTTCCTCCTAATCTTCTGAACACATGTTACATTTACGCAGCTGGCCGGAAGATCAACTTCCGCGAAAGGTAAATGGACGATTTCGAGGAAATCTGATGCCGGAATTGAAATCCCAATCTCTGATATTCTCAAACCGGTCGTTCGTGGATAATCTCGCCATGTTCATCATCCGGTCTTTGTATGCTGTTTCCTTAAGTCCTCTCTGTTTTACTCTGTTTTCATCATGTAAAACAGAGTAAAACAGAGTCCCCAAAAACAAATTGTTGATGACTAGTCTCCTGCAATGTTAGAACAAATCAACCAAATCAACCACTCCATTTCAGAAGATTATGTGTCCCCAAAAACAAATTTAAGTAAAATTAAAAGAAATCGAGAGTAATGAACCACTCATACATGAAGACGAAGAAAGCACTGGCAAGCCTCTCCGGCTCGTTTGGATCCTTCGCAGCCTTCTTAGTTTGTTTTCCAGCCGCTACATTGTTGCTCTTCAACCTAACGAAAAAAAATTCCAAAAAAAAAAAGACATTGGTAAACAGAAGAGGCTAACACTGAAATTGCGAAGCAATCGCTATGGGTAAACAATCGCTTGAAGTTACAACAAAGCAAAGCAAGGAATAAAACTCACTTGTTGTCAGTTTCCTTCGAATCAGCCTTCGATCTAGCACCTTTTCATGCCAAATCCTGCACCAAAAACAGTCAAAATCAATGAGAATCGTTTAAAGATCGATCGGAAGGGTGCAAACATGACTGAATCGCTACAGCGAGTTACCTGAGAGTTAGGGTTTTTGGAAGAGAAGGAGACGCGAGCGAGAAAGAGAGGAAATAGACAATTCGATTTGGTGTG